TATATATATATATATATATATATATATATATATGAATGAAGATAAAACAAAGGAAAATTATAGATATATGAAAAAAAGGGGGGGGGAATAATAGTGAAAAAAATAAATAAATAACAAACAATTGATTAAAAAAGAAGGAGGAAATTTTTTAAAGAAGAAACCCGGAAAATGAAAGGTAAAATCTTTTCATCAGCCCACACGATTATATCCTCAAAAAGAGTGCTTTCTGATATTGTATCAATATAGCCAAAGCAAAATATATTAATACAATAGTGTGAGGAGCAATCAAAAAATTTTTTTACCAAAATTACAACAAACAAAATAGAGCACAATAAGTAAAAAAAAACACGTAAAAACAGAAAATAAAATGAAAAAAACAGTATAAAACAAAATCTCTAAAGCGAGTAGTGAAATTAGATGTACTTACATGAACGGGAAATTTTTCAAGAATGATTTAAAAATATTTTCACAAGATTGCCAGATTACAAAATATGAAAACAAAAGCGCAAATTGAGTTTCACTAGAGGAATTTAAATATATATATATATATATATATATTCCGATGGAAGTTCGTGTGTTATGTTTATAATTGGTGACGTTAAATTAAATAGTAATACAAAGAATAATTGAAAATAAGACGAAGCAAGCATTTCTAACGTGGTATTATTTCTGTTTGTGTACTTATTTAACTATTCCGCGGTATTATTTCATTATAAATATTTATGACTAACTAAGCAATTGTTAATTTGAAATATGCGTTATAATAACGTTAAATTATATCGATTTTTTTTACGATTAGAATTGAAGTATGAAGTTCATGTAAAATTACATTTTGTATTAGAACATGAATCAAGCTTTCGAGCAATTAAACATTTCTAAGTTAATCCGTTATATTATGTGTAAGAAATTATTTTGAGCTTAAAATTTATAATATGAATAACTAAATGTAATAATTATTTGAGTATTTTTTTTCATTCACACACTTTCAAATATTTGTCTAAAACTTTTTCATAGACTTCTTTAAATCTATATTTTATTTTATTTTATAATCGTCGTTGAACAGCAGACTCAATTTTTTGGGATTACGACTACTAATGTTCAACTCCGTAGCCTTGCCATTTGAACCCCATCCAGAAGACAAGGAAACTCCTGGATCAGCTATTGGGAGAAATTTGCCTTATTGGAGGAATTTTCGAGGGAATTAACCCGCATTTGCTTTACATGGAGAGGAAAACCACCCACGTTTAGTCTAACGGCAAGGGGACTCTAACCCATGATCCGTCTTCTACCACTGAGGATATTTTGCTTCAGCACTATGGTCGGTGCGAACCAGATGCGGAATTCGCATCGAACTGTCATTGCTGGGATTTCGACCCGGCTCATCGCATTGGACGGTGAACGCTCTATCCTCTAAGCCATCGCTGCTCTCTTTAAATAAATATTATATTATTTTGTAACCGTCGTTGAACCGCCGACCCAATTCTGGGTTTACATTTACCAAAGTATCCTTGTAGTATCCTTGTATTTTTGATCCCAATCCAGAAGATAAGGGAGCTCCTGGATCAGTACCCCCGGAGATATTGATTTGTTATGGGAACATGGAAGACTTTGTGACCCGACAGATTTAACGTGCATAAGTCACCACTTACTGAACGGGGAGTCTTCGGCCGACGGAAATCGAGCCCACGATCTCTTCGACATGGGCCCAGAGACCAGGCTATCCCGACCCTCTCAATTTGGTTTTGATATTAGACTTTACTTATGAAAAACCAAATGTAAAGTCTTATGCAAAACCGGATGGGGAGGACCGGGATAGCCTGGTTGGAAGGGCACTGGGCCTATGTCCAAGAGATCGTGGGTTCGGTCCCCGGGATAGCATCGTTGGTAAGGCATTGGACCCATGTCTAAGTGTTCGTGGGTTCGATCCCCGCCGGCTGAAGACTCTCCGTTCAGTAAGTGGTGACTGATGCACGTTAAATCTATCTGGTCGCAAAGTCCTCCATGTTACCATAACAAATCAATACCTCTGGGGCTACTGATCCAGGAGCTCATTTGTCTTCTGTATTGGTTCAAAATTACAAGGCTACGGAGTTGAACATTAGCAGTTGTCAACCCAACAATTGGGTCGGCTGTTCAACGACGGTTATGAAATAAAATTTAAAAAAAAAAAAAAAAAAACTTGTAACAACCAATTGATTTTAATTTTTAAGATCAGCAGCTACGCTAAATAATCGCCAAGTTTTGACAAATTAACGAGAAACGTAGAAAAAAAATCATATAAGGGGGCCAACTCGAACGGTTTAACTCGTAGTCAACCTCTACATTATTCTTTTTTTGTTTGTTTATTTTTGTAATTTCTACAATTTTAAAATACCTTCGGCACCTTGGTGTTAGCAAATGGCGTGATCGGATGCAGAAATTTATTCCTGACATGCAAGGTGTTGTATTTAATTCTGCAGCGCGAACACACAATTTAAAAATTAAACAAATGAAAACTGAGAAAAAGATGGCTACTTTCTTGCAAATAAACACTTAACGCCACGACGCGTTTTTAACACTTCGGAATCAGGTCAGAATAGCACATAAAATTTTATTTCAATGACGTTAAATGTGTTGAACGTAAATATAGAAATGTTATTCTTCGTTGTGGGAAATAAATAATATTATTATGTACTGAACGAAATACAATTTTACGGCTTGTTTTGTAGGAGGCCATTATATATATATATATAAATATATATATATATATATAAATATATATATATAT